CTTTGTGCATATGTTTGTAACAGGCAAAATGAATCGAAATAGACCCATGGTTCCTTCTGAGAATATGCATAGAATCACTTTTTGAGTCGATTTATGCATTTCGTCCGCCCGTCTGTCCACCAGTCAATGTATTTTTGTGAACAAAGTACAGGTCACATTTATTATCTGATTTGAATGAAATTTGGCACAGGTCACTTATTTGGCCCAAGGACGACCCCTATTGAAATTGGGGAAAATCGGTTCAGATTTAGATATAGCTCCCATATATAGTTTCGGCCGATTTTATGTAAATGGTGCACCAAAATCCCAATATTTGTCCGATTGAGAAAACAAATTGCACAGAGTACTGAATTAGGTCTAGACTGATGTATGCCTAGTTTTATTGACTTTTTTATTGGCAGATTGTATTAAATTGAGTTTTGAGTCATGTGTATTAAAAAACTCTGTTTGGAGAAAAACGCGTTTAAAGTTTGAGAAGCCCTCTTGCCGTCACTTGATGCTAACACAATAAATCTGCTATATCTTAAAAAATTGTAGAGATTTTCTCTTGGAAATTTATAGGGACATTCTTGAATTAGTGTAGGTTCGAATTAAATCAAAATACAAAACAAAATTTTTTGAAACCATGAATGGGGGGGTCCCCTTAAAGTTGCAAAAGCCAAATTGTGTATGTAACGGTTGAAAAACAAAAGACACCAAAGAATCCAAGTCTGCCATGCCATTTTTGATATGCAATTTTTCACTGATTTCAGAATGGTATGTGTATGTTTTTTAATATGTACAAATATCTATATTTTAGCATCTCTTGTATGTACCTAAAGTGGCGAAGGGTATCGTCCGACTTTTCCTTACAGGTTACTGTTATTTTTGTTCTTGAAATACGTACAAAAATTATAAATAATATCAAATTAGAAATGCAGTATGAGGATGCCAGAATGCATGTAGAAATTTTTAAGTCTTTCAAAAACGACAATATATGCACTTGTTGGTCAATGGTGACTGAAGTCAAAAATTAACGAAAGGAAGATATGTTTCCTTATATATCACAATTTTTTAGAGGGTAATTATATATTCCACATTCATCTACAAATGTGGAAAGGGTATTTTCATATCAAAATATAATTAAAACCAAAGAAAGGAACAGAATACATGCTTCGACTGCTTCAAATCTTAATTAATTTTTATGTATGTTTTTATTAATTGTTAATAACAACAAACATTTTATTAAAAAATATATAAAAAGTACAATCGGACTGAAAAAAGTACACTTTTTATTGAAAGCCAGTACAATTTGAATAATTTCATTTCGCATCCCTGATATGAACCTACTCCAGTTAAAACCAGTTTGACTTAAACGTTTTCTTTACTGCTTTTGTTTGATCTACTCGCACATGGATGGTCCCATATCCATCATTCTTCATTAACAAAACATCTAAACCACCCTGTTTTCTCAATATACTCTTATCCAACTGAGAGTATATATTACCGGCATTTACTCAAAAGCTTTTTTAATGAATGCGCTCTACTCCTCGCTCTACTCAAACACATCGACGTTTGTTATTCTCATCAATGCGCACAACAAAAAACAAACAGAAAAAGTAAACAAAAAATTTCAAAATTGCCGTGGGGAATGTTCATGACAAACGGATGGACGGTGGGTACACATTTGAGAAAACAACAACGAGAAAAACACAGAAATATACAACAGCTGTAATGCAACCGGAAACCAAATAGGAGAGCTATGTTGTGTCCTTCCGCTATTAGGGACAATGTGAGAGCAATGCATAAAAGAAAACCAGCTGTAAAACTACTACTGCTACTACTACTATTTACACACACTATGAGCGAACGAACGAACCGAGCGACGGAAGGTAAGCGTTTTACGAAAATAAACCGAAATCCGCTGCAGGCGATGTTGGTGGCGGTGGTGTCTATGGTGTTGGCAAAATACGTTCATTAAAGAATATTTGCACAATAAACGAAAGGAAAAGCTCCTTAAATACTTAACACACATTCGTGTGCAAGGATGTGTAATTATCTGTGAGTTTGTGTGTGTGGGTGTGAGTTATTGTCAACGATGATTGAGTGTATTTGTGAGCTAAGACACAGTACGCTGCGTTGTAAAGCATTTAAAGCCGGTTGAAATGAAAGTGCTATTAAGTTATTTTTAAGAAATACTTAAAAAGTTGCAAACGGAGAGTAATGATGAACATTGTTAATATTCTTTGCAAAGGTTTTTTAGAACTTTTAGTTGTCTTTTGTTGCTATCTATTGTGTGCTAAATATCTTTGTTCGGCTTGGTTGTGGGTCATTTTGTGTAAAGTCATCACCATGAAATGGAGGGAATGGTTTTGAAAATATGAAGAAATAAATTTGTGCAAATAATTATTTAACTGAAAAGCGTATTTTTTCAAAATATCATTTAATATCTCAAGAATATATACCCTCAAATATTCGGTATTTTAGAGATTTTTTGCACAATTTTCAACAGAATTGGCTGTAATTTGTTATTTTAAGTTTTCATTGAACGTCAAATCTAATATTTTGGGCACGTTTTCCACCGGATTGGCTGCAATTGATTATTTTTGGTTCTCACTGAGTAACACATCCTTCTCCCCAAAAAATATCGATATTGATCAACTGTTTTCGATAGCGCCCTTATAACGGTTCCTCCTAAATTTTTTGGCGTTTTGAGATATATATATTTACGTTTTCCACCGAATTAACTTTAATTTGGTATTTCACTCGACAAAACATCCGCCAAAAATTATTGATACTGGCCTACATTTTACGATTGCTCGCGTATTCCCAATATTTCGGTATTTTGGGAAGTATGGATACGTCTCTAAGTCTTCGTACTACAAAAAATCAATATTGGTCTACTTTTTACGATAGTCTTCCATACAACGGTACCGGCTATTATTCAGTGAATAATATTCACACACCAAATACCCAAAGTATGTCCGATTGTTTATCATGAGCCTAGAATAAAGTGTATTCGGTTCTGTTTACATCGGTTCAGATTTATATATATTTTCGTCCGATATTTTAAAAATTGTGCACCCACTGTTTGATCGATTAAAACGAACTCGAAGTATTGGGTTTAGAAATATTGGACGAACTCCATTTTATACAAATTGGTGTCGACTAACCAATGTCCGCCCGTCTGTGTGTCTGTCTGACTGCCTGGCGCCCAATGCTCTCGAAGGGAATAACTGCTTGCATACAAATTTTGCACATCGTAATATTTCTTCCAAACTTAAATCAAGTTCGATGACGGGGAATATCGGCCAATCCTTCTGGTACCTCCCACACAAATTCATCAACATTTTGCTGAAAATTTCTTTTATAATACCATGCGAGCGGACTATCCGATTTGAACCAAACTAAAGTTATCGGTCCATTCCTTCTAGTACACCCAAAAAAATCAAAAATTTCATTTTCGAAAATGGGATCCATCGGTCAATTCCATCTGGTATCTCACGCTCGAAGGGTCAACAGGTTCGAAGATAAGACACATTGGTCCTCTCATTCTGGTACCTCCCTAAAATAGTAGTCAACATTTAGCTGAAAATTAATTTTATATTATCACACGAATAGACAATCCGTTTATAACTAAACTTTGCACAACCTCTCTCAGAAATGTTCAACATTTTTAAAACTTGTAAATCTCACAGGAAGCTAATGGAATATCAAATTGCATTGAAACTTTGCACATCGTAATATGTTTTCCTTACATAATCAAGTTCAAGTACCTCCCAAAGGGCCAGAATTTTACAAACTTAACAAAATTACAAATTTGAAGCGAATTGAGTAACTGATTTATAAACAAAGAATGTTAAAACCTAAAGACTTCCGCTAACCACAGGCTGATGGTATACACCTGTCGGAAACACCTACTGACACTTTTTTACTTCTTTCAAAATGTTTTTTTAATCTCTACGAGTAGAATAGATTTTTTACGTCTAGATTGTCATATAGCTCCCACTTATAATATTGTCCGATTTAATAGATATGTTTTTATATAATATAAATGCTACACCAATGTATGTCTGCTCGATTGACATGAAATTTCGCATAGATTACCGAATGTCACGATTTGATGCGCAAAGATGATACACCTGTACGATCGACAGGGTATTGTACACATATAATCACCGAAGAACATTTGTTGGCATCAATCAGTATATAAAGAATTATAGGTTACATATCCTACTGTTGTCCTTTTCTTACTGGTAGGTTCCAAGATAAAATCTTATGATGCAGTTAAGAAAATCTTGGCAGAATACTTTCAAGTTTTGATATACAAAGTGAGAGTACAAAGAATTGGTGCAGTCAAACATTAATCCACCTTTATTTTATTTGTTTATGTACAAGATCTGACCAAAAAATAACCAGGAGCAAGACATTCGGTCTTATTATCGGCTTTCCTTAAATCAGATATGTTACAATTGAACAGTTTATTTTCATCATTTTTCGAATAGAAAAAAATCGAAGACCCCACCAAACACGACTAACACTTATTGATACCTAAATAAATAAAGACTTTTTTCAAGAGTGATACCAGCAAAAAATCATCAACTCTATAGGGAATTTTCCACTCATCACAAGCTCGTTTTTGTGAAGTATAATTATACGAACACGATTATTAATTATATATCTTTTAAGCGAGTTGGAAAATTTCGATAACACCAAAATACGACACAACAAGAATATAATTCTATGGACACCTAAAAGTATGCACCAGATTAAGGAACATCAACTTGTAGGGCATTGCCAACAACTTGTTGTCAGGGTCTTATAGCTTTGTGCTGTCCCAAGAGTTTGTAACGCCGCGAAATATTGGTCCTTGACCTTTAAGCATACCGAACGTCCTATCTCGACTAGCTCAGTCGATCTAGACATCTGTATCTGTCCGTCCGTCCGTCTATCCATTATAATAGGCCACAGTTATGGACCACGTCGAAATTTTGCATGTAGGACGGGTTCTAGCCAAAGACCACGTCGATGTTGTTCCTCCTCGGAATCCAAACAAATGTAATTGGGATTTGATACGGCCATAGTTTTCATTTCTTGCTTTAGTTTTCTTTCTAGAGTATTTTCACGATCCGGACCCATTGACATTTCAATATCATCCACCTGTTGATCGGCTGGTAGATCACGTACCTTTTTATTCTTGCTATTAACTATTTTTTATATTAATTGGTAAAAAAAGAATTGTGAAGGTCTACAAGCAATTGTAAATTTTGGAAAATCTCTTTCGAAGATTAGAACAATTGCTGTAATGAAAAATGTTCAATTCAAACACTGAGTGTTTTGTGCGCCCGGGCTAAATAATCATGTTGCCAAACTGAAATAAGATCTAACGTTTTGGTATTCTAATGCCGTCTAATAAGAGTAAGACGCACTGAGAGTGATTTTTTCCCAATTACCAATGTAAACTTAATCTGTAAGACACAGGGTGACAATAATAAAACAAAACATTTTTGGAGGGGTTTTAAACATTATATATTATATTGTAACTTTATTTGAAAAAAATATATTTATGAATACATGAGTATACCTAAATCAAATGAATTCAACGTAAAAGTAGACTATTTTTTTTTTAATTTTTTGATTTTTTGCTTGATTTTGCCATTTTTATATACTTCTTATTCTATATTAAAATTAAAAATACATATTTAGAATATCCTGTCTAATACTATAATACAGAAATTGTGTATATTCAAATATTTATTATTCTTTGATCTCATTTTTATAATCGTTGGTTTGTTCGTTTGCCGTTGTAGAGAAATAAACAGAAAAAAACTCTTTAGAACTTATACTTATTTATTTTTTACAAATAATTATATATTAAAAAAATACAAATATGCAATGATGTATGATGGGGACTTATTATTAAAAAAATATATGTTTGGTTCTTTGCCGTTTCAACACATTAAAAATTATTATTGTTTTAAACACAAAGTAAATATACATACATTTGACTTACAAAATTATAATTCGTTTTCATTATTATTATTACAAATTTAATGAACTTTGACTTCCTATATTGCCACAGTCTTAAAAAATGTATTGTTTTTGTTCTTAAGGCTACATAAAAATTATATGCATTTTAACTAGTTTATACTCATTGTTGTTGTATTTTTTTATGAATAAAAAAGTTTAAAATAATAATACAAAAATATTAAACAAATACTAATAAAGATCATTTTTTTTTATTTTAAAATTAGTTTATTCTTATACTCTTATAGAGTTTATTATTGTAGGTTATTAAAATTATTATTATTTTTTTAATTTTATAATTGTTTTTTCCATATTTTTATTTTTATATTTATTTATTTTTTTAATTTTTATTAATTGAACATTGTCATGCTTACTCTCCTTTGTTTTGTTAACTTGAACATTATTCCATTCGATATTTTATCGTGCTAGTCGAATATTCTTTTTATTCAAAAGCTCTTTACTATTATCATATACATTTATAAAGATCCCTTAAAAGCTTTTACAAATCTTCTTACATTAGCTGCTTCCAAATATCTTCACTACATCTAAAAGCTTTTTTGTGGTCTAACTACAAATATTTAAAAAATGTGTTAGACTCTCCTTAAGGTTACAGAGCTTTTAAGCTTTATCTTAATTGGTAATCTATAAACAATACAGTTCACTGATATTTACATACAAAGTGAAAGCTTTTTCACCAACAGAACGAAAAGCTTTAAAGCTGTTTAAGGCACAAAATTCCTCTTTACTGCCACAAAATTGTGTGAAATGCTCTGAGAACAGCATTTCTCTGCATTTTCACATTCTCCTCCATGGCTTACCGACTGGCCAAAAAGCCTTATCACCACCACCAACACTAAAACCTAACCTAACAATTCATGTAATTGTGATCATCACCATTGGCTCCATCAACCTGATCCTCCGGTTTGGCGTTCTCAGTCTCTTCCTTCGGGGGTTCCAAATTTGCACCCACATTTTGATATACCTCAGCCTGAATTTCTAAACTTCCCACCTGGGGTATGGCCACTTGTTTTGGTTTAAAGGACGAACATTTGGGATTCGATTTGGTTAGCTTGCCATAAATAATATTCGATCTTTCGTTTAATTTGATCGGTTGCAGGGTCACACCATTTTGATAGTTATGCTCCTGTTCCTGTTTAGCCTCCATAATTGTATTTAGATAATTATTACACGATGATGATGAGGAGAGGTTCTGACTGCTGTAGACGGGAATATTTGAGGGGAACATTTGATAATGTTCGGAACTTGTGGGGCTGGTGGGTGTGTTGAGTTTTGTGCACGATGACATTGGGGATGGGAATACAATTTGATGTCTTTCATCACCAGGGGTGGAATTCGGTGTGTACACCGGTCTGGGTGTAGGTGGTACCAAATAGTTGTCCATACCCGGTGAAGCTAGGCGGCAGCCAAATCTGCGTTCATCATGATCGGAATGGGTACCAGAATCTCCCAGTGAAGTACCACTGCAATTGCTGCCGGTACTCAAACGTCCCGATGACGAAGATGACGACACGGATTGTAAACTCAAGGAGCTAATAGGTCTGGCAGATGATTTGAAACTGGAAGAAGTTGTAATCGATGATTTGGTTTCATCCAAAACACTGTCAACACATGAAGATTTATCATGATGCAAATTCGAGGTGGACTTGTGACGTGAGAATAATTTCTTGATTTTTTCAAATGGTGTTTCACGTTTCAAATGATGGCGTATTTGATCCTGAATACGTTCATATTCCCTTCTCAGTTGATCGATTTGATCTTGCTTTTCACGGAAACTTTGTTGCACATCATTGCGATGTTTCCATTTTTCGACCAAAACCTCAACCTCGCGAATGGACAGGACATTATTTTTAAAGTCATGCATTATCTCGGCCAATTCATCATCAACATTAGCTCTGGCCGAGGAAGAGGCATCAGACACCGAGCGCTTCAAAGTGCCATAGGTGGGTTGATGAGCCAAACGTGTGGAGGAACCCATGCGATTCAAACTCTGTCTCGATTGATGCAAGAACTCTTCCTCAACTGGACGATTTGAAGGTTGGAATAAATAATTACCATCATCGGTATTGGTGGGGGAAATGGGTTGTTGTTGGTGCTGCTGCTGCATTGGTGGAACTGGTACATTTGAGGGTTGCAAAACATAGTCATTATTGGCAGCGGTACTGGTACAATTCTCCAACAATTGGGAACATTCTTGGCTAAATTTATCAGTTTGATAGATGGGAGCATCGGTGACATCTTTCGAGGTGGAGGACGAGGCAGCCTTATTTTGTTCCTTCGATGCATAATATGGAGGTTCACTAATATTCAATTCATTGGATGTGATTTCGGGTGTCGTAACCACCTTATTGGAATCGAAATTTTTGCACACATCAGCCGAAGAGCCTTGCAGATTTTCCTCTTCTGTCTCTACACTAATGTAATTGAGATTTGATATGGCCATGGTTTCCTTCTCCTGCTTTGGTTTTGTTTCTGGTGTATTTTCCCTGTCCGAACCACTTGACATTTCCATATATTCGGCCTGTTGATCGGCTGGTAAATCACGTTCCTTGGGGGATTTGGGTGATTTTGGCTGCTTGGTCTTTGGTGATGCAGGATGAGATTTAACAGCCTCAATAACTACCTTTGTATTACCAGCCGCCTTTCCACATGCCGTTGCTCCTGAAGCCACCTGTTGCTGGCTCTTGGTATCATTTGTGCTCAACCCCTTGAAATAATGATACATTGTGGTGAGTTCATGGAATTCGGAAAAGCTCATTATATTGCGTGCCAATTTATGATGTCCCTCCATATCAGCCAGCTCGGCCGGTGTCTTGCCAGCACAATTTCTTATGCCACAAGCAGTGTCACCACCCGGGCATTCCATCAATTGCATACACAAGCGATTAAGACCCCAACGTGCAGCAAAATGCAAAAGGGTGGGATATTCTTCAGGACTAGTTTCACGCATTGTCAGGAAGTGTGATTGCTTTTCATACGGACCATTCAATAAATGGAAATTGGGTGGCATATTCTTTTGGAACGATTGTAATAAATGTAAATCCAATTCATCCTTCTCCGTTGGGCCAATACCCAAAGCATGACACATAAATTCGATAGGGGAATCTTCGGTACGCAACAGCTGTTCCAATTCACGTAGACGGGATTCGCATTTTATTGGGCGGGCACCCAAACTTTTGTGATTCTTTTCGATGCGTACCTCAACCATTGTGGAAATTTCCATGCAGGATTCTGGAATAATAACAAAAGGGAGAGGAGAGAAAGGGGGAAGGTTAATAAATGAAGAATAATTTTTATGGGAAAATAAGTTGAGTATTCAAAAATCAGATGAATTCTAATTTTCTGAATCACAATGGAATAATTTGTATATTCATTGGAATAATTTGAATTTTAAATATTTTTTGAATTTCAAATAAAATAATTTGAATTTGAATAAAAAAAATTTTGGAATTTTGAATAATTTTAAATGAAAATATATAAGAATAATTTGAATGATATAATTTCAATATTAAATGGAATAATTTTAACTGCAAATATATTTTGAATTTGAAATGGAATAATTCGAATTTTAAATATAACTGTTTGACTTTCAAATGGAATAATTTTAATTTTGAATAAAACAATTTGAATTTCGAATGATTTAATTTAAATTTTAAATGGAAAAATTTTAATGCAAATAAATTTTGAATTTAAATGGAATAGAATAATTTGAATTTTAAATATAAAAATTTGAATTTAGATTATTATTTGAATTACAAATGATATATTTTGAATTTTAATGGGTATTATTTTAATATGAAATGGTATTATATGAATTTCAAGTGTAATAATTTTAAATTACAAAATAATGATTTGAATTTCAAATGAAACAATTTGAATTTCAATTAGAATTATTTATATTTTAAATAAAATAATTGGAATTTCAAATCGAATAATTTGAAATACAAGTGAATCGCTTGGAATTACAAATTCTGTACTGAATTTTCCATTCAAATGTTTTAAATTGTTTAAATATTTTTTTCTAACTTCCTTCTAAAAATTCCCTCTCAATGCTTACCTGGTATAGCGAACTGCACGGTATAGGGGTTGCGACATTTGAAATTACGTATTTCAATTAATTCCCCTGATTTTTCCACAACAATTTTTAGCATATCATCCTTTTCCAACCCCTCATTCAGCATAGCCACAACTTTATTCTGACCAATCTTAACTTTCTTGGGGAGAATTGTAAAACCATCCGAGCAAGAGGAAATACTGCGAGAAATACTTGAACCCGAATCATGACAGACCGGACGTTGACACAAGGCACGGCCCAAAATATCCGTGGCAATACCCAAAATGTTACTTATCTGAGCTTGATCATTGTCGCGTATGACACAGCGACGCCATCTCAAGTAGTTGGGAAGAGCTAGAGGAAGAAAAATTCAAAATTAATTTCAATTTTCTACATTTTTAATTTTTTTCTTTTGGAAACTTACCCGACTTATGTATTTCCTTGACTTTTTCCTCAGTAACATCCAATAGAATACCCAAAACTTTTTCAACTCGTATGATGCTTAATAGCTGGGACATCAACAGCGAATGGGATAGAGCCAATAGAGCCGGACACAAAATGATAATTTGTAAGGCGGTATTTTGATATTTATAAGCAATTTCTTCACTAAAGGGACCATCTTCGATTTTGATGTGCAAAAAGCTAAAATAAAAATTTAAATAAAATTAATAAAACAATTCAAATTGTCAGAAAAAATTCAAAACTCACTTAAAAGGTTTGCGTCCACGTTGTTTGGTGATTTTATCGAAATGATTCTTCAAGAAATTCGCTCTCAATATTGCCCTTTCACTGTGCTTGGCCGTTACAATCAGAATATCGTCCATGTTGTAGGCTGCTGAACCAGCGGAGCTGCTGCTCATGCTGCTGTTCATTGTTCCACAGTTGTCTGTAAAATAAAAACATAATTTTTAGTCAAGAATATCCATAGCCTGTGTGGCAGCTATAAAACTCTGCATTATGCAGAGGTAAATTTAGAAATCAACAGAACGAAAAGTGGAAGCAGTGTAACCGAAAAATGGGAAGGAAAAACAAATTGAGACAAAATAAAAACAAAAGACCAAAAAAAAATATTCACTGATAACAAGGCCGGCCAATATAAAAAAATTGTCGTCCCTACCAAACGGAGGGAGAAAGAGCCCTATTACATGCGGTTTTATGTGTGTTATATTCCCTTTTACCGGCGGCGTCTGCCTAACCGAATGACTGACGGACTGACGAATTTGACTGCATATCATTGAGATATGTGTGTATTTGTTTGTTGCTCTGTGTGTTATTGACATAGGATTTCTTTATGGCCAGCCAACCAACCATTCAGGCATTCAAGTCGAATGGGTGGGGTGATGGGAACAAAAACGAAAAAAATGCAGAAGCGATTAAAGGCAAACATTTGTGTCACCATACATTTCGACAATCATCGACAAAAAACAAATCGACACTTTGTATTTGTTTTGATGGTGATTTGTATGGTCATGTTCTTCCATTGGTGTTTTTTCTTCATTTTTTTGATGATATTCGAATGCGACAATAAATGTGTTGAAAATTATCCTCCTAAGTGTTAGAGTCGTATTTGTATTGATTGGTGTTTTGTTTTTTTGTTTTGTTCGTCAATGATAAATGTTATGAGTATAGCTGCTGATAAGCAGGAGTGTTTGTTGTGTGTTTTTTGTATTTTTTTTTATAAAAAAGGAGAGAAAATTATATATCAAAATTGCAGTACTTTTCCAATCACTAATTTTTTTGGTGGGTGGAAAAATTTTTGGGATAGCTAGGGTATTTTGTATATTATTCAAATCATTTAGAAACAGGGGTCTTATCGAAAATGTTCACGGTTTTGACTTTAAAAATGCTATTGGTTGATAGGTTGGCGCCCAACGTTGGGCTAGACTTTCACATTTAAATGTTAAAATTTGAAGAAATACCACATCAATTTTTATAATACTTAAATCATTGCGAAGCATTGTCATTTTCACGGTTTCGACTTTAAAAATAATTTTTAATAGGTTACGTTGGAAAGACTTTTGGATTTTAATATTAATATGATGTATTGCATTTGTGGGATGTTATTTTTAAATTTTTTGGCGCCCATTGTTTCTGTTTTAAATATTTAGACATTTTTCCAGTTTATTTAGAATTATACTCGATTTGCTGGCGCCCAATATGAGGTCAAATATCACTGTGAGGTTTGATTTTGACTCTGCAGTTTTAAAATTTTAAAAATGTATGATTTTTATTGTTTTGGCGTCCAGCATTTCATGGAAATATTTTGTAGAAAGATAAAAAAATCTGCTGGACAAAATTCTGTAACGTGGAATCTGTTGGCGCCCAACGTGTTTGATTAGGTTGAAATTTGCTTCCTTGGCTTTAAATAGTCTTAGAAGTGGGAGGCTCCTATAAATTATATGAAGAGGTCAGCCCCATTAATTTATACTCAATTATGAGGTTCCATTATGTTTAAATTTACAAATTAAGTTTTTGTGTATTTTATTTGGCGCCCAATACGGGTTTGGAAGTTTTTAAAGGCTGTACTAGGCATATAAATATTCCATCAGTTTTATGTTTAGAAGCTAAGGATATATTATAATTTTTTGGCGCCCGACATATATTCGAACCAAGTGAAATTTTCATTGTATAATTGAATATGGCGCCCAACGAAGGGCGCTATCATTTTAAATGGTTTAGAGCTCAAGGATGAGGTTGTTGTTTGTTTTTATCATTTTAAATGGTTCAGAGCTCAAGGATGAGGTTGTTGTTTATTTTTTGACCCCTTCTGATCTCACCACCCTCCTTATTATCCCTTCATCCATTTAATTTAATTATTTTATATAAATAAAATACAGAGACATGTCTGCCTACAACTTCATTGAATGCATTTTCTGGTTTCCACAGGCGTTTTCCTCTCGAGATTTTTTCCTCGGCTTCTTTTTATTTTATTTTACTTGTCATATTGTCATGGAAACACATGAAGAATTCCAACATTCTTCTTATTTGCTGGAATATTATTTTATGATGGCTGGGGAGTAAATGAAATGTTTTCTTTTTGTTTTTGCTGTTGTGTCTGTTGCAAATATTTTTAGGACTATTTTTATATACAATTCTTCATTTGGGCCGAACTTCGTTTTTTGCGCATTCTTAGTTAACTACACATGTTGAATTTTTTGCCAGACAGGATTATTGTGCCAGACATATGATAAACAAACGGGATTGCTGCTATAGAGCGGGATGGTCTGTTTCACTTGTTTTAAAAAATGGGGTAGACAAATTGCAGGGGAATTGCAATTTTTTTCTACAAACTGAAAGCGAATTTCGCTGGAATGTGACAAATGTTGCTAAATGTAGATTTTTTGTAATGGAAAAAATATATTTCAACATTACATACCACGTTGGGCGCCATAAAAGATCAAATGTTATTTTTGCATTATATATTTACAAGATGTAAAATAATAGAGGCAATTAATTGGTGACCGATTGTTATTTTCCACGAAAATACCTATGATGGATGCCATAAAATATAAAATAACAAATTTAAATAATTGATTTTCAATGTCGCCCAAACGTTGGGCGCCACAGAACAAGTCATTAAATTATTAATAATATTTAAATAATTAATTTCCAACATCGAACAAACGTTGGGTGCCATAAAACATCACATAATTATTAATAGTATGTTAAATATATATTTTCCAACACCCAAGCAAACGTTGGGCGCCATAAAACATGTCCGATTTTTAAATAATATTATAAATGATTTTACTAGCCATAAAAATAATATTTTTAGTGCAGATTATTTATAAAGCTTCACTGCGGATCAAATATTTATAGTTTTCAGAAAATCTCTCTCTTAAATTATTATGACAAAAAAAAAAATTATATTTATTTGGCATTATATTTTTCGCCATAAATTTCTCCACCAACAAATCCACCGGTGGTGGTCAAACATTTGTTTTATGGCCAAAGAACTTACAACATTTTCAATGAAATAAAAAAACTCTAAAATAAAACAAACACACACTTTTAACAATAAATTACCTTAGATTACACGAAAAGAATAAAAACAAAAGCCACCTACACCAAAACTATCAGCAACGCTGATGGTTTGTTGTTCAGCGACATCTGGACACACACACAAAAATATCATCAGCAGCAACAACACTTAAATTCAATTCAATATTCAAACAACGTCCACTCTCTAACCAAGCCAGCAGCTACTGCTACCACTGCCGATAAACTTAATAAATTGTCTCACATAAATCCTTTTTACTACCCATGCGGCACTAGTCTCGCAAATGATGAGAAAAACGTTTATAAAACACTTAGTGTCGGCGAAAATAAAAACAACACAACGACGAAAAAATAGTTTAAATAAATAACATAAATTTAGTCACGTTCAGGAACACAATTTAAATAAACAAAAATATTATAGCGCGCAGGAGGAGAAGAAATGGCTACCATAGTGTTTCCAAATTCATTTCAAAAAGAACACACACACTCATCGCTTTATAGGGGACAATATGTTGCACAAAAAACAAAAAAAGTTTTTTTGTCTCTTTTTTTATATATATTTAAATTTCTTTGTTAATTTGTTTGCATTTTTCACTTTTAAAATTTCTTAGCTTTTTTCCCCATTTTTGTATTTTGATTTACTTTTTTGTTTGTTTTTGTTCTCCTCTTTATTGTATTATTTGTTTGTGATGTTATCGGCAAGCGTGGCACCCAAATACTGCACTCGTTCCCTACTTAAAGAGGCAAATGTTGAACTTTTGGTGACACCCACCATAAAGTTGCAACTGGGAGTGTGTGTGAGTATGTGTGTGGCAGAAGCAAATAAGCAAGCAGCATCCACCGAACCATCATAACAAAATAAATGAAACAACAACAAAAACAAAAGGGGATGCATCATGAGGCAAAAAAAAAACAACAACATCCGAAGCAGTTGCTTAAGACTAATCCCAGGCAAAATGCTGAATAAAATAAGACAACAAAAATTGGGGTTTTGCCTTTGACACAGTGGGGAGCAAAAAAAAAAAATTAAAATTTTAGTTAGATCATACCATTGATTGGGCGCCGGAATTAAGGTTGACGTTTAATAGTTTTTTTATGTGGAATTTTTGACTTCTCTTTGGGAGACTTTCAGGCTATATCTGGTAGGTAAAGCGTCCTTTAGACCTGTACCAAGCAAAATGGAAAATAAAATTAGGTAACAGAAACTGGAATTAAGCCTCGACTCTTTAGGACCCAAAAATTTTAAAATTTTTTAAATGGTTCATGTATATTAATGATATATACTGAATAATTTTTAAAACCCCATATATAATACTCAAATTTGTAAAAATACTCACGTTGGGCGCCATTAATAAATTTCGATATTTATTTAAAATTCATTATTTTTTTATATTATGTGCTAAAATTACTGAAAACATACCATCTCTTAGATAGCAGCAATTTGGATATTGTCTTGACTCTCTCTTTCCGTCTATCTATAAATCTATCTATCTCGTTAAATCTATCTATCAAATATTTTTGCTTTGAAAATGTTGTATATTTTGAATGCCGAAAAGTTCGCTTATATCAAAAAATTTATTGGGCGCCGCTTCATATCACACATTTATGATATCTACAGAAAAATTAAAAAAATGTATTCAATACTCAAATTCGTATCATTATTCACGTTGGGCGCCATTGATAAATTTCTAGATTTATGAATTTTTACAAGTTTTACATTCTGTTTTATTTTATTTATATTTTTGCTAAAAATACTGAAAATCTACGTTGTCCAGAAGAGGAAAATAATTGATGGGATTATGGCTATTACATGGAAACCAAAACCCAATAATCACGAGTCAGGTTCATAAGAACGCATCAAGATCGGTCGAATGTCAAATGTTCCCTCAAAGGTTTTCTTTGCTATGTCTCGAAGATGTT